CAATCGTCGTAGACGGTTTTCCACTTCCTCACATTGAAGAACTGCTTCATCAGCTCTCCGGAGCGGTATGTTTCTCCAAGCTGGACCTCGCGTCCGCTTATCACCAAGTTGAACTTTCTGAGTGCAGTAGAGACTTAACCACATTTGTATCGCGCGAAGGCTTGTTTCGGTTTCGCCGCGTGTTTCGAGCTTGCATCTGCCCCTGCAGTGTTTCAGAAAATGTCAATTATTCTTAAGGGTTGTAATGGCGCCCTTTGTTACTTGGATGACATTTTGGTGTGGGGACGTACTCGCGAAGAGCACGATGCTAACTTGCATACTGTTCTCAACGGCATCAGTGAATGTGGTGTGAAACTTAATAACTGCATTTTTTCTGTGAATGAGTTACGATTTCTAGGACATAATGTCAGTTCCCGCGGCTTGACACCTGTTGAATCTAAAGTTCAGGCCATTGTCAATGCCCCACGGCCTACGGATGTTAAAACCTTGCAATCTTTTTTAGGTCTTGTTGGTTATTATGCCAAGTTTGTTCCTCACTATGCTGATGTTGTTGAACCACTGCGTACTCTACTTTGTCAAGCACAGCCTTTTAACTGGTCAGCTGAAGCTGAGCAGAGCTTCATTCAAGTTAAGTCAATACTGGCCTCAAAGCCAGCTGTTAGTATTTTCAATGAGAAGCTTCCCATCGTCATCACGACGAATGCGTCCGATGTAGGACTGAGAGCAGTGTTTCAACAACTCGGAGATGATCAGCTGATCGCTATTGCTTTTGCATCTCGTACATTGACCCCTGCTGAACGCAGATATTCAGTAGGAGAGCGTGAAGCTCTCGCTTGTGTTTTTGCCTGTGAGAAATGGCATGTTTACTTGTGGGGCCGGCACTTCACATTACGTACAGATCACCAAGCACTAGATGCTCTTCTTTCTGCAGGATCCGAAGGCCGCCGCCCCATTCGCATTTCCCGTTGGTGTGCCAAACTCATGTATTATAATTTCAGTGTTCAATATTGTAAGGGTTCTAATAACAAGGTTGCTGATGCACTGTTGCGCCTTCCTCTTCAGATACCGGTTACTGAAGAGCGGGATGAGGAAGTTGTTTCATTAGTTACATCCTGCATTACTAAAGCTGAGCTTCAGGCAGCTACAGCTGCAGATTCCACTTTGTCTCAAGATATTAAATATTTACGTGAAGGATGGCCTTCCAAAGGTGCTCTTGCTTCTGAATTCTTGCCTTACTTCGCAGTCCGGCAGGAACTGTCTTGTGTCGAGGACTTGCTTTTCCGCGATGAACGCGTGATTCCCCCTGCTTCTTTCCGTAACAAGCTAATACAGCTTGCCCATGAGGCCCATCCAGGCATTGTCCGCACCAAGCAATCTCCAAGACAGGTACTGGTGGCCAGCCTTAGACAAGCAGGTCGAGCATGCAGTTTACAACTGCCATATGTCAGGCAGCTGACAAGTCTGCCAAACCTGCATTTTCTCCGTTGCACCCAGTCCAGTGGCCTGATCGGCCTTGGCAGAAATTCGGCATGGACATCATCGGTCCTTTGCATAATGTTCCACAAAATGCCCGGTTCATTGTTTCTCTCATCGACTACCATTCCAAATGGCCAGAAATTTGTTTCACACATACGGTTACTTCTGAGGTCATCATTGAATTTCTGTCTTCAATCTTCAGCCGGGAATGGTTTCCTAATGCCATAGTTACGGACAGTGGTCCACAGTTTCAGTCCCAACATTTCGAGGCTTTTCTTTCACAACGAGGAATTCAGCACTTGAGGTAGTCAGTTTTCTATTCCCAATCAAATGGCCAAATCGAGCGCTTTAATCGCGTTCTGAAGGAACTTATCCAGATCGCCCAATTAGAGCACCGCCCCAAGCAAGTCTTGACTGAATGTTTAGCTTCGTACAGGTTCACACCACAAGGCACCACTGGAGTGTCTCCTGCTCAACTTCTCCACGGTAGGCAACCGCGAGTTGCTCTTGACATAGTCTCTTTGCCTCGTAACATAGCAGTGTCTTCTCCTGATCAAATTCGTACCAGGGTTTTTTTCTCGTCAACAAGCAATGAAAAAGTATGTCGACACCCGTCGAGGTGCAAAGCAGCCCAAAGTTCGCACTGGCGATCTAGTCAAGGTTCGTGTGCCAGGCAAGCGCCCCAAGTATCAGGGTCCTTACAAAGTCTTGGGCCAGGTTAGCCCTACTTCTTTTCGCTTAAGTGATGGTAACATCTGGAATGCTTCGCGCCTTGTTATTTTTCATACGGATTCGCCTTCAACACCTAAAAGTCTTCCACGTTCCGTCCACGCCTTTCAACTACGCATCAGACTGTTACATGTGGCCTCCATGTACAGGCATTTCTTCTTCAAGTGGGGAGGAGTTACCAGTCGGTTTTGCTGGTTCAAGTACACCAAGTCATACGGTTCACTTCGAACCTTCAAATACGGCTGAGACCGTTGAACCGGACTTCGGTCCGCAAAATTCTTCCGAAGCTCATGCTGCGAGCTCTGATGACACCGCAAATTTTAACGCTCGTTCAGAGCCTTCACAATCTTCCACTGATCTTGATGTGTCACATCAGAGCAGAAGTGACCAAGGTGCAGAGACACCAGATTCTACACCCAAAAGGGCCCGCCCTAAGCGGAAGCGGCAGAAGCCCCGTCGGTTCGAAGACTATGTGATGTAGAACTCTTGTTCCGAACAGTTGTGTACATTTTTTTTTGTTTTTCAGTGCATTTTCAGGACTCGTAGTGAGTTCGGTGTGCCGTGCTCCGAATTTTCATGTGTTCAACATACATACCTTGTATATACTTTTGTATCGATCATGTATAAATATAAACAGTGGATAGGTGAACTTTTTTCGAGGAGGGGATGGTTGTTGTGTTCTGGGTTTCGGATTGACATGTGAGGATGCCGGGGGGCGCCGCTCTGGCATCTAGGATTTCAAGGCGACTGTAAAATAAAGAAGTGTGTGTTGGGTAACCGTGGAGTGCGGTTGTTGTACTTTTCCTTCGGCGTTTCGCGCCAACCCGCGTGTTCGGGCTGGTCGGCGTCCCCTCCGGCCGCGTACGTCTCCGTCGGCCGTCTTCTCCTTCTGCTTCGTCGGGACCAGCCAGCCCGCAACACAGCAACGACGACAGAGACAAGGACACGAGCGCTCGTGTCCTTCTTGTCTCTGTGTCGTCGTTTTGTTCTCGCGCTATAACTATCGTCATGCCATACCAACTAGCCCAAGCTGCCACACTTCAAGATCTGCGCATGTTTGTTTCACGGTGTCACTTGTTTTTTCCACAGTCAGTAAACCAGTTAGTAGTTCGCGGCCGATATGCTTCGTGTCTGCCCTAAACAATTGACTCGGAGGCGCTGCGACAGATCTTCGCCCCTCTTCACCACCCATGAAGGAGAAACCTTGCACAAGCTTGCCCTAGTGAAGCCATGCTTGTCGCTGCAGCATAGAAAAATGTTTACCAGGGGAGAGGGACATTCTCCTTGCCCCCAGGTTCCGACGCCCATGTAGGCAGGGAACTTACACTAAACACTTGCTGGAATGTGCAATGTGGGGTGACATTCCTGCATTGTGAATAGAAAAAAAGGCAACAAATTCCAGGGAGATGGAAGCTTAAAGAAATGAAAAACTCGCAAAAAGCTGTGTGTGGTGGTAGTGGTTAGACGAGGAAGAAGACACCTATAATTTCTGCAGCCCAGTTGGGAGCACGGCGCACGTGCCTGCGGTATGTCCCTGAAGCCGACATTTGTAGCAGCTGCACCTGCTTTCATTGTGTGTTGCCCTTCCCTCCTTTTATGTTTGGTTTGAAGGATAGGGTAAAGAAATCAGTTGCAGCTTTGAAGACAAGTACGTCCAGCTTCCAAACCTCGGCGCCATCGACACGTCTCGCTCAGGATATTTTTTTCGTTCCTGCAGTGCGTTTTGCAAGGCGTGCTCCCGGCCCTTCGCTGAAAAGCATTCTTGCGAGAAAGCCAACTTCAACTTGCAGGTGTTTCCAAAGTGTCCACTACCCCTGGTTTTCTGCGCTGGGCGTTCTAGTAAATGTTTGCGCAACATCACAATTATACAGTACTGGCGGCCACGGTGACGTCAATGCAAATTGTGCGCACACCAAATTATAGAGGATATATGTTTGCAGCATGAACAGCAGCCCATTACTTACCCGAGTTGACAGCGATAGATCGAACAGCCTGCTTGGCGATAACAACGCCGATCACGGTAACCTTAGTTGCGTTAGGATCCAGCCTATCTATGGACGTTCGGTTGAGGACAGCGTCGCGTTCCATTTGCGTCAAAGCGATAGCACCGGCGGTCGACGGAAACATGGCAGTAGTTCGAGAGATCGACACTGCGTTGGTTAGGAAGTAGAACTACTTCTGCGCTGCAAGTTCTCGCCGTGTCAAGTAGCTTTTTGCGTTATAAACGGGGAAGCCAGACGTGCGCACGTCAGGCGTATTCGACTTTGCTTGTCGTCTGCTCTCTCTAACGATATTCGTTTACGTTAGAAATCAACAGCTAGATGCGACGTAAAAGTCGATGTTAATAAACTTCACTCATGTTACTGAAACGTTGGCGATGTAAAACGAATGTCGCATTTTTCGTCTGCCACGTTCGCCATCGTCTTCTCTCGAAGACAAAGCGAGATGAGAAGAATGAGTTTTGACCTATTTAAACTTATATATATATTTATTAGAAAAGAGGCAAGAGTTCGTTTTATTATCGGCTACAAATTTCGCGCTAATAATAAATGGCATGTTTTTTCCTCCGAGATTTCCTTCGGCGACAAATATGCGACGAGTATATCTCAGAGGCCATACAAACTACAACCACAGCAACTACTGCTACAACTTTGTGGTTTGGTCACTAGGTGGCCTAGTTGGGCAAACTGGTATGGAAACTTGTTTCATCTAGGGACCTTAAACGGGTACACGGAGGAAGGAAAGGTGAACTGGTAGGTGTTCTGTGGTTGGGCTAGGTACTTGATGTCATCCGTGGCTCCCTAGGATCGTGTTGTGGATCTTGCCAAGCCTGCCGTTCCGGGCAGATGCGCTTTTGGCTCCCACGGCCTGGTCGGAGCCCGCGAGCCACGGGTCAATCACGGTAGAAGGCTGTCTGAGCAGAGAGCGGCCAGTTTGTGGCCCATACTGAACCCCACGTAAGAGTAAGCAACGTCGTATAACCCCCTTTTGAAGCGCGTCGCGATAGCGTTAGCAACGTCGACTTTGTAAACTAGAGAGCGGCGTCGTTACGACGAGTGTCGGTGGCGTGTTAAATCATGCAGCGGGGAGGCCAGCGCGGTCGAGGGGGTCCAAGCCGGGGCCAAGGCCGGGGCCCAGCCCGGGGAAGAGGACGTGAACGAGGTGATAATCTTTTCGTTTCTTGTTTCTCGAAGCGAACGAGTCTCGTCAAATATGGACGACGTGGCTTAATGTCCGCCGCTCCCGCGGCGTCTTACGACAACAAGCGCTTGCGGGTGCTTTTAGCAGCGCACTTGTGGCACTCGTGCAGGCATTATCTAAACAATAGTGAGCCAGAATTCCTATTTCGTTGAGGCCTTTCAAGGTTAACTTTGTGCGCTCAGAGACAACAAAAACAAACGCTTAGGCCTCGTAGTATTTGCTCTGGCTGCATTTTTCTGCGTTTCGCGGAAGGTGAGAGCGGTGTTGTAGTCAATTCAGCGCGTAATTCTTCTCACGTGTTCATTTCGTTAATTTTTTACGCGTTTATTGCAGTCCAAGCGTACGCAGTTTCGTTGTGCCGGCCGTAGCGTGGTCCAGTCAGCGAAGGGGACTTACTTTCTAAGGTGCACTGCGTGCGATAAACGAAATCGCTGGACGGGTGGCGACGTGCAAACTTTAGACATTTGCCTTCTCAAGCATTTCGCACATTCAGAGTGAGCTGTCAGTCCGTCTACTGCGTTTGAAACGCTCGAATTGAAACCGTAACTATTACTGCGGATGGCGGCCGTTATGGCGCCCGTTTTCACTTCCCTTGTGCGCGTATTTACGTCTGCGTCCTGGCGGAGCATTTGGTTGCCGTGCATGCTGCATTTTTTCGTGCTTCGCCCCTGGCGAGTCCCTGTCTGCTTCAACAGGGTTACGTGGCGCACTGCAACGGTTGCTTATGCTAGTTGCAATATGAATAGTGTATTTGATTTGAAACGTGGTAGTGGTCACCGCTCTCCAGCCTACTTCGAGCTAACCGACACGAGCGGCGCCAACGGGAAGGGCCCCATCCAACAGGAGCAAATAGGTTCAAAGCACAGCGCACGAGTACCTAGGCTTCTGACTCCTCGAAGGAACTCTTTCTCGTCTTTGAACCATCGATTGATTGTACGTTTGATAGTACGATATCGATAGTGTAAAATCAACCGCGCCCACTCATTTCTGCGTAAACTTAGTTCCTCGAGTGCGTGGTGAATGGTGAGGGAGCAGGAGCAGGCTGAAGGACAAAAAAATGACATGCGAGAATTCTTTCGCCAGAATGCTTCAACGCATAAGTTCAACTCTTCATCTGTAGCAGAAGGGAAGCCGTTGCATATGTCGGTACTGCGAGGATTCAAATTTACATTGCATTTTGTGATTTCGAAGCAAAATTACCAAGTGGTAACAGTGCTTTTACGTCGCAACATAAAAAGATCTAGAGATGAAGATGTAACTGGTTGCTTGTGAATATGAATTTTTCAGGTGGATATGATCAAGCAATATCCCTGTGGAAATAATTTTTCACCAAAATGTTTCTCCTAGAGGAACAGAGGTAGCGGATAACAGGCTATCGTGAATGTTTCGGCAATATCATTGGCCATCAGCAACATTATTCAGTGCTATCAATAATATTGCCTATAGTAATGCTGCCAAATGCTATCGATAGGCCATTTACCAATATTTATGCATCATTAGAGTGTTACTTCCCCTCGGAAAATTCTGGGTGCTACCTCTGAACTCTAATGACGTAAAAGATTAAAATTTTAGCACAATGACGACACTTCACCAACATTTCTTCAGCTTCATTAACATTCTATATTAATGCCAGGGTGTCTACCAACCTGAAAAAAACCATAACTGCCGGGGAAATTTGACATGTCTGGTCAGGTCGGGGAATTGCCATGGAATTTGTGGAAAACCTTGCTGGGTCATATAAACCGATTGACTGATGCCGCCGCAGTGGATCAGGGACAAGGTGCTCTGCTGCTGACCCGATGGTCACGACAGTCTCATCTTGATGGAGGCGAAGGGTAGAGAGTAGTGCTATGTAGGTGCACATTAAAGAACACCAGATGCTTGAAATTTCCGGAGCCCTTTACGATTGCATCTCTATTAATATCGTGGCTTTGAGGCATAAAACCCTAGCTATTATTATTAATTGAAGCTCACTGATGACTACCAACGGGACAGTCTCGAAAACAATCCTTACGGGTGATCAAAGCTTACGAAGTTGGCCCTTTTTTTCTGCATGTGCTGTAAACGGCTAAACAGAAGTCAGAAAAGGACAGTGCATTCTCCTACCCCCATAAGCAACTGAAAATACCTGTTCCCAGGCGTAATATTACTCTTTTCGATGAACTTGTACTTGTCCTGGCCAGTGACATCTGGTAAACTTGAAAGCATGGTCGTTTGGCCTGAATACTAATGAGCAGAAGATTGTTGGGCCAAGCCACAGTAGTTCAGTAGCAGTGCAGTAGCAGATGCCCTCAGTTCTGCATGCAGTTTGAGAGTTCCCGTTTGTTCATCCTTTTTTTTTTCCTTAGCACTCATGGGCTCATTTTTAGTACATTGATGCATGTTTTCCTAGCAGGCTCACTAGTCAAAGAATATGCTCAGAATCGCCCTGGAAAATCGGGCAATTCAGAAAGTTTAAACTGGTGGACACCCTGAAGGTGCCATTGCGCACTTAATATTTTGCTTATATGTTGATATCCCAGTGAGATATGTACCCCGGTGGTACCTTTGCTTGCTATTCAGGTGCTACCCGAGATTCAAAAGGTACGCTTGTGCTAGTCGTAGAAAAGTTGCATGTTTTTTTCTTTGTTATGTCTTTCAGTTCATATTTGCAGTCTTTCCAGCCTGCGTAAATTGAAAGCTTTTTTTGCTCGTTTTGTTTACCACAGATTGTGCAGGTTGATACTTGGTAGTGGGTCTCGGAACAAGCTGGGCTACACAAAATAGTGGTAAATAAACGTGGTAAGCGTAATTCTGGATTACTGATAAATTGCCCAGGCACTACCACATGTGGGAATAGAGTCTTTTCATTTCCCAATGCATTGAAAAAAAAAAATCTGGTGGAAGCGACCTCAGAGGAAATCGTCCAGTGCCATTGGTGTGCTCAGGTCAGTACGCTTGTCTAGAACACTGGGACAGTATATGCTGCAGTACCTCCCAGCATGATGTGGAGCTATATACTGACAACAATTTACCAGTAACAATTCACCAACACCAATTTGAGATAGCCCGTACTTGGGTATTTATCCTTAGCGACCTTGCATGCTATAATTTGGGGTCTTTCTAAATGTCATCAGTGCAGTTTGACTGGTGCCTTCCATTGTTCTAACGGGTGTGTTCATTATTGTATGTTTTTTTTTATTTACTTCTCTGTAGGTTTTCATTCCTGGTGAAAATTTGCCGCATGATGCATGGTGTATGTGGAAAGAAGTGTTGTAAAGCTTAGTTTTACCTGGCTGTCCGTGCATGGCAGGCCCGAGAGTTGTGTACAGATATTCTTCGAGAAGCACTGTTCATCAGTGCAAAAAAGTGTTGGTACACTTATGCCCAAAAGTGTATGGAACATGAAAGCACATGCCAGTATGGTCTAAGCCTTCTTGTAGCGTGCAATCTGCTGTCTAAAGCATTGCTTGAAGCATTTGCCAGAACGCTTGACAGCTTGGTGCAAGTCACAATTTCAACACACACACCCATATACTTTTGCGCGTGCGTGCGTGTGTGTATGTTGTAACACTTAGTGCTGGCAGCATCGTGTTAAAACTGACATGACAAGGCTTTATTCCTGTTTAAATTGATGTTGTCAGAGTGTTAGATGTACTGTAGAAGCAGTTGAGGGAGCCAGGTGGTGGGCCTCTTTTGCTTTCTTGTAGTCAGAGTTTGTCATTGGCGCACCTGTGTGTGTGTGGCAAAGAGCTGAAGGGTGAGCTTGTCGTCTAGTTGGTTTAACATATTGTAAGGGACAGTGTGATGACCAGGACAGTAAAGTCACACAAACAACCACACATAGGGCTGTCTGGCAACTGAAGTTTATTGCGGTGGGTGAAGAATGTCATTAAACCCCTACGTATCTTCTCTTGCCAATGTGGCGCCAAACGGTGTTTCCCTGGTAGTTTTCCGAGGGGCATGCAACAGCTGGTTTTTACCTCGTTCTTCTACTAAGTGCAGAGTCAGCATTGTCTATTTGGGCCTCTTGCCTAGTGTAGAAGAGCATGCAAGTTTTGACTCTGTGCAGCCATCTCGAGGGATATTCTGAATGGTGAAGTCTAGACACACTGGCTACTGCTAAATTTTCTGGCACACCATTATCGCTGGTGTTGCTTTGAGAAGCCGTGCGTCATTTACTCTATCTGACCACTACTATTTGGCAGCGTAACAAAGCTATGGGGTTTCAGAAAGTCGCACGCTTGTGCAGTGAAACATGGTGCGAGGTGACCTTAATTTGGCAAGTGTTAGACAGTTGCGTTCGCTTGGCTCGTGTTGCATCACATCAATGTGAGATTATTTTTTTACATTTACACTGTATGCCATTGGTATCGCTAACCGCCACAAACTGTGCTTCCTGATTGCATGGCACATGCCCATTTCGATCCAAACTTGCGCTTGCTACTCGTTCACTATACTGACAGCAACAAATAAATAGTGAATGGGCCATATATTTGTGCCATCATGCAATGGGGGCAAGTCAAGAGGTCTGTTGTGATATTATTGGTGAAACCTGCTGTTTGCCTAGCTATGCTTGTTAATCTGAGTATGCCAACAATTCGATAATGAGGCCTCAAAATATCGCAATATAGGCACGAGTGTACTGCTGTTGAAGAGTTGGGACGTGAATCTGAAGCAATGCGAGCATCAATTTGAAAGTCAGTGCATGAAGATTGTGTGGAATTAGAGGCAAAGGGCACCATTAAGGAACAAATTTGAAGCACAAAAAACAAGGACCGAAGAGGAGAGTACACACGACGAGTGCTTACTTGAAACTGATATTTATTACAAGAAAGAAAAAAAAACATACACCCCTTGTTTTTTGAGCTTCAATTGTGTGTACTCTACTCCCCGGTCCTTGTTTTTTGAGCTTCAAATTTGTTCCTTAATGTCTTACAAACTCGCCTAAGCTTACGTCCTTCTAAGAAGGGCACCAACTT